AAGCTGAATCAAAATGTAAGGCCAAAACACCAATACATGGAGATAGGCTGATAGCGGCACTTAGTTATATGAAAGTAAATCACACTTAGAAAAGTGAAAATAAAAATAGAAAATAAAACATAATGTTGAATTTTAAGAAGACAAAGGTGATATTAATCAGAATGATTAGTGAAGCTGATGGCAAAGACATGAAAGAGGCAGATGGGGCTATCTCTGGTCTCAGATATAAAGGTAGACAATGTGCAGGAGAAGTAGAGAAAAATCCTAGAGAGAAAGGCAATGAAAAAGATAAAAGGTGTTTGAGTTTCAACAAATAACAGAATAGTTAAAGCAGTAGCTTTCCCATCATTTTAATATGTGGCAGTAAAATCTGGACATTGAAAAAGGGTGAGAGAAAGAATGCACATGCCTTCATACTAGGGATCTGGCGACAGTTACCAAGAGTACCATGGACTGCAAGAAGAATCAATCATTTGATCCTGGATGAAAGAACTGCTTGCTTGAGATGATGATCAGCAAGCAGAAATTCATATACTTTGGATGTGCGATTCAAGTGGATGATTGACTACAAAAAGTTATGATGCTTAGCAAGATTAATGTAAGCACAGAGATGATGATTACAATGGATGAAGTAGAAAGATGTGATAAATTATCAGAGCTGAGGATTGGTTGAGATGGTGGGCATTCTGCTGGTCCACCAGCATGCATCTTCCTTGGATGACTATAACTTAAATAAAAGGAACTCAGCTCCAATACCAACTAAAGAAGAACAGATGCAGATGCTGCCTTCCCCTCCCTGATATAGAGGATCCTGACCTGGAGCTGGAGGAAGACCTCCCAGGCTTTCAGAATGCCAGCAGCATGCATGGAGGATAAGAAGATAGCAAAGCAAAGGAATAGCCACTTGCAGTGGAAGCCACCTGGTAGGAACTGAATTTCTTCCTTGTCTGATCTCAGTAGATCAGAGGACAGCTTCAATTTCAGCTATGTCTAGGTGGGAAGTAAAGAAGCCTTGGATATTTAAGGGCCATGCAGAGGGGAGATACTTAGCATATGCATGCTGCATGAATTACTGACTACTGGACTGGACCCATCAACTGCACCTGGCTCTGCACTGGAACTTGACCTTTATATTTGGACTTTTGTATTTAGAGTTTTACTTCAGTATGGCCTCAGAAAGTGCTTCTGCTGATCGCCTGCAACCCAGATGAAAAGCTGATGCCTGATTTACGGCTTTATGAGCAAATACAATGGTGTGTTTTCTGATTTATGATCAACTTGTTTTACCTTCTGCTGGAGCATAGTTAGGCTGTGAAACAGTTGTTTGTACAGTTGCCCAAGGCTGAGCCCAACTCAGCTGCACCTAACTAACTGACTATATTTCAGTTTGGGTTCCAGCATTAAAACCAGTGAATCTACTCTTACATTTATCAGTTCCTAGGACTATATCACTATTTACACTGCAATAGCTATTATTAGATGAAACGCTCCCATCATTCTGAACATAATTGAGCTACCTACAAAAGGAAACTTATGATCATTCTCCTTACTAATGCTAAAAGGTGCCACACCAGTTCCTTGGCTGAAAGAAAACTGACAAACTTCTTGTCAGAGCAGCAGAACTGTCTATCTCTGTTTACTGAACTGAACTGATAATTACATTCTGACTTAAAAGACACCCTGTCAGTTCTTGGGATTGACTTCTATCATTCCCCCTCCTTTCTAAACCCACCCACAACTCTACAGGAGCTGTAACAAAAGGAGTTTCATAAGTCCCAGAACTTCTGATTGCCTGATAAGGAACCTTTCACAATTTTCTCGGATGGCCAGCAAGGGAGGAAAAATTCAATTTTGCCTGGAAAGAATGCATACCCTACTAAAATGAAAACATATTACAGATACAGAAATTGACTCTGGGAACATTTTAATAGCAATTCGCCTAGCAAACATTGAACTACCTATATGTGTGCATCACTGTTTTTGTATTAATCTGTTCTAAATTGGTATTTGCCATTTTATTTGCCTACCTTGGTTAATATGCACATCATATCTTCTACCTTCTGTTTTGTTCTTTACCAACAGCTACAAGGAATTATTGTCCCTTCCAACCTGTTCACTCTACTTCTTACTTTTCATGAAAGAAATTAAATTGCTGTGAAAAATACTAATATATTCCATGGTGGGACTGAGGCAAAGTCACTATTTATGTAACTTGAAAAGCTTTTGTGCAGTATTCATTGCTAATGCTTGGCATTAGCTTCTGTTCCCAATTTGTGTGGAACATAGGATAGTTCTTAAGATACATTAGAGGCAGCTTGCAATTATGTTAAGAAAAACTATAGATACAAATGTTAATTAGTAAAATAAATTTGTTTTAAAAGCCACCAAGTAGTCCAATGTTGTTTTAGTTTCTCAGTTTTTACAAGGAACAACCTAGCCCAGGATCTGGGTATCTTTGAGACTGCCTTCTCCCATCTGTAACTGACCACCCAATAAGATCTAGAAGATATGGCTCTTATTTCTGAGGGACCACAGGGAGAACCTTTTCTGTCACTGGCCTCTTCCCTTGGAACAGCATTTCCTCAGAGATCAGATTGTATCCAAAACTGTTAAGGTTTCAACAGGACATTAAGATTTGGCTTTTTCAGAGGGCCTTGGGGATCTGATTTCAATGCATTCTCTCTTGCACCAAGAATAGCAATTTGTGTACTGATTGTTGTTTCTTGGTATTTATTATATTTATTAATATAAATATAATTAAAGGATTTTATATTTTTATTATTTATTAATATCATTATTATATTATTATATATATTTATATAATTAATATAATTATATATATTAAATGTTTTTAAAATGTTACTATTTTTAATCTTGTTACTGGATGGGGGAATGTTATCTGCTCATAGCCACACATGACTGGAGCAGCATATAAACCCTAGTAAGTAAGTAAGTAAGTAAGTAAATAAATAAATAAATTTGTTTCAAGCATGCTATCATAGCTTTAGATGGCAAGAAGTGTCTTTTTTACAATATGAACAGTAAATTCTGGACTTCTGTACTACATGTTGAATTTTATCAGCACTTATAAAATAATAATACAGTAGCACACATATATTCCTACATAATCTGATATCTCTTTATAGCCTATCATGTTTACAAAAAGTTCCCTTAACACACCCTTTTATCACCCTTAAACTCATGAAGTGTTTCAACTAGGCTTGAGATAAATAAAAATGGTTTTCTAGAGTTTAAGGATTGTGTTGTTTTCTGAAGTATAAACTACTATTCTTTATTATTTAAAGAATTTGCAGGTGTAAAAGGTGTAAAAAAGGTGCCAAAACCTGACTGATTAAAGATTATAGTGGAAGAAAGGATAAACATGTATCTAATAAGAAATTTCCATTTTATCTTCTGTTTCCTTAAAAAAAATGCTGTCTTGTCTTTACTCTGCAGCAAATGGATGACAGTCAAACAGTGTAATTTTTTTTTTTTTTTTTTTTTTTTTTTTT